TTACAGTAGATTGCCATCAAAATGTTTAAAAGCCACTAATTTAAAGAACTTTTTATTTAACCAATGAAAATACAACAGATTCTTTTCTGGAATGGAAAAGACAGAAACAATGTTACAACATTATATTATATAATCACATAAGAACTTGTTTTCACAATGGTTGGAGATTTTTCCCTGCATATTTTCTCCTTTGGGGGGAAATAGTTTTATGTAAATATAGATTAAACTATAATTTCTTTATGAAAATTACTATTATATTTTTTCTTATAATGTGTATATATACATATATGTGTGTTCTATTGTATCTCTGCTCTTTTATTTATTTATTGGGTTGTCAGTCCAGATGATAGAGGACGGTGTCAAAGCTGAGATCCACCTTGTGTCCAGGTTTGAGTATGCTAAACGGAAAACTGTGATAGTAAAAGCCAAATTTGGGCTGTGTTGTTAAAGCTCTGCAATGGTGTTTCCCCTAAGTCACTGAGGTTTGGGGCACTGTGAGTTTATAGGACTAAGGAATCTAGCATCTTTTGTAATCGAAGAGCAATGCCAACAATTGTGTTGGGCAGGGAATGTTATCTCCTGAGAAATGTGAACAGTCTCATTGGAAGCTGTTCTTTGAAAAGGCCACTCTTGCAGAAGGAAAAAGATTTCAGGCAGTGGGGTAAGGTGGAGCCTATGCTCTCTCTCAGAGCCCCCAAACAACTGGGCCTTGGACATCATACAGATCTAGAATAAACTCCTATTGGATAAAGCTATATCAACTGCAAAGAAGAAAAAAAAGATAATAGCTTTTCCTGAAGTCTTATTTTATTTCGGGCATTGTTCTAAAAACTGTACAAGTATTAAATCTTGTAATCTTTATATCAACCCTATGTGGTAGGTATTATTATCCCTAATTAATTGAGGAGGAAACTGAGGCATAAGGAGGTTAAGTAACTTGCCAAGGGTCACACTAGCTAATAGGTGTCAGGACCAGAATTAGAATTCAAGCATTCTGACTGCAAAAGCACCCTTAACAAAATTATGCCGATATCTCCCTAGATCAGAGGCAAGGAAGAGCAACACCCAAGAAGTGATTCTGTGGAGGGCCTTGGGCTTGTTGACTGGAAGAGCAACCCTAGCTAGCAGCTATTTTTAAGTCTTAAGTTATGCATCCTTCTACGGGACATCACAGGGGCAAAGCAGAGGCTTGGGGTTAACTAATGCTAAGAAAGCCAGTCACCACAAGGACGAGATGTTCCCTAGGACTCCCAGAAGTTCTATGAGATGAGAACAGTGCAAAGATAGCCCTTTCTGTATGGCAAATTGGACAGAGGCTCAGATTCTTGTGATATTGATATTAAAGGGAAGAGTGGTTTTTGAAGATGATGAAGTCTGGGACATTTTGCTCACTCATAAAAATCTCAGTCATAAAAGTCATGAATTATGAAACTAATTCTCCCAATACTATCTGAAAACAAGGTCATAAGGTACATCCAACATTCTTTTATCTAGAAAATATTCTCAACACTATTTCAAGGACCAGCTGGTGTGCTTGCTGCTAGAGACAGAAAGATACATAAACACATGTCTGTCTTTTAGGGCATCCAGATCTGTGGAGGACACACAGATTTATAAGAAAAAGTGGTCAACATGAAGTGAGTAATTGGTGTAATCATAGGTAGATGCAGAGTGTGTTGATGGCTTAGAGAGGAGGATCCTCTTACCTATGAAGAGAAGATTGATTATATGTGATAACACATTAGATCTAGCCATGACCTTTATGACAGGGAAAGTTTTATAAAGAGACACAGATCAGAACAAGCAGGTGCATACATGAGGCTCAGTACTACAGGAATGAAGACTATGTGTAGAGATGTAGCAGACAAGAAGATGTAGCTGGAAAGAAAGGTAAGAAGGAGAGAAGATTATGAAAGATCTTGTATTCTATGCAAAGATATTTAAGTTTCTGCCAATAAAATGGAAAGTAGAGAGATTAGTTTTACATTAGAACGCTTTGTAAATGAGAAGGTTAGATTAATCAGAAGTGCTTGCAAGAGTCCAGATGAAAGGCTAAGAAGTTTCATTATAGTGAAAAAAAAAAAAGAAAGTGGAAAAATGACAATTGGCATTTAAGAGGCAGTATTGACTTTGTATTGGACTGGGTATGAGGAAAGATTCTCATGTTTCTGGTTTGGGCTCCTGTAGGCCTCTAGAGTAGGTAAAAAATAGAGGATGTGAGTTTATCAGCAACATGGCAGAGTTGTATTGATGATCACTGAGTTTGAGATCTAATGGTTACCTAGCAGAAGCAGTGTATAGGCAGTTGGAAACACAAGTTTTAGAGCGCAGTAGACTAATATGGACTAGGGATACGGGGTTCATAAGTGATTAAAGGCAAACAAAACCATTGGTGTTACCAAGATCACTTAGGAGAGCATGTAAAAGGAAGGGTGAAAGGAAGAGGTGAGAGAAGAGACAGGACAGGGAAGGACAGGGGAGTAAACCAAAGAACTCTGGGGAATAGCAGTGTTTAAGGATAGGGGACGCAGAGTTCTTGACAGAGATTGAGAGTAAGCAGAGACCAAAGGAAAAATAATGCTAACTAGAAACAATGTCAAATTAGAGCTAAGTGAGAAGGAAGTATAATGTCTTTAGAAAAAATGAGGGAAAATATGTGTTTGAGTTTTGACATGAAGAATATAGTCTAATTCCTTTAAGAATTGTTTTAAGACTACCCAAATTGGAGTAGAAATCAGATATCTTTCCCCTCTTTTTGGCCATTATTAAAAACAACAATGCAACTAAAAGTCACATAAATTCTCTTAAGCATATTAATCAATACATCACTATAATGAGTTAATAATTTATAATGTAATGTGAATATAAAATTTGAAGATCAATAAGCTGTAAACAAAACTATGATTTAGATATGAGGGCTATTCAGCATAGAGTTAGTATTTCTAACAAAAATTATATAAAATTTTTGTGATTGAGTTTTGTTATAAGTATTTATTACCAGAATAAAGGAAAAATAATGATGAAATTGTGCATGGGAAACTGGCATATTATACTCCGTTCTGAGCTTTGCAATTGCCAGTAAAGGTTACGATTGCTTCTTTGGAAAAACAAAACAAAACAAAAAACAACACACATTTAACTTTATGTGACTATAAGTATCTTGTACTCATTTAAATAAAGAACCGCTGTCATGGAGCATTATCTTACCAATACTGGTGTGAGAAACACTGCCTTATAGCATTTGAGTTTTCTTAGTTATTTTGAATATTATCATTCTTTTTTATTTCCAAAAAATCATGTCATTTTCTGTTTAAATGGACTATATATAACAAAGGTTACTATATTAACTATCCTTTTAAACAAGAATAGTGAAAAAAATATTTTTGGTAGGAACACATATACAGTACCAAAATACACATAAAAATTATGTAATTGAATTTAAATAAATTCATTAAGACAAATATTTCAACTACAGAGGTTCAAGTTTCTTAATGTGAATTACAGACACAATTTCTATCGGTCATCATGAGTATGTACACAGTCTAGCCACTAGGTGGCGATCACGGCGAATTTTTACTGTATTTTATAGTTGAAAATGCATTAGTTGTGTGTTCTGCATGATCATGTTTTCAGTTTATCTAGTCATTTAATTTGAAGGATGTCTCCTACTTCTTGTTAATTTTCTTTGTAAATATAGAGAAGAATAGATATAGATTTCCTACATAAGCAGAACATGATTTATAAACAATATTTGGTTCTTAGAAATGGTAGAGTTTCTGTTCTAGTGGAATCCAGGTTCTTGGATATGGAGTGACTGGTGAATATAAGATAGATGATGTACATCGTGGTGAAAGTCATTGAAGTGTAATGTGTAGACAAATTGTAAAGTGTAGAGAAATTGTCATATAAAGCATGATTATAATTTAGGATTGCCAATATACTGGATTTAGGAGAGGTTGAGGCATCTTAGCTGTATAACACACATACACATTAGGAAAAGGAGGACGGATGGTAAGGTCTGCTGTTTTAGCAACCTGAGATCCATGGATCATATGTCTAAAGTCAAAACATCTTTACTATCATCCTATAAATACAGGGGCTTCTTTGCCCTTTCAGAGCTTACCCAGTGGTTTCCACCTGTAGGTATACACTTAAATATATATTTAAAGAAATATTGTTCAACTATATCCGTTATTTCCTAAGTCATTAAAATATATTTGAATATATTACTGAATGAATATATTTCCTTGGTCAAAAGTAAATATATTTTTAATTTTTAAAATTCTACACAATGACACATTGTTTTCCCAAAAGGCCACTTTAAAAAACTCAAATTTACACTAGCCATGTATAAGTATTCATTTTCCTGAGTTATCATCAGTAGCGTATTCACTTATAAAAATATTTGCCAGAACAACAAGCTCCTAAATATCACTCAAGGCCATTCACTTCCACTTCTCTGTACTTCTCCTGCTATTCATTACACGTATACTTCACACCAGACCTTCATGATCATGTGCTTTTGGACATATAATTCTTCCTTCTATGCACACTCACTTCCCTCTTTTCTTTGTGAAATTCTCATCATTACAGCAAAACTTGATTTCCTAAGTCAGGGCTTTCCTCAATTTCCTGACAAAGTCAATTCCCACTTTTCTTTGTGAAATTCTCATCAGGACAGCAAAACTTGATTTCCTAAGTCAGGGCTTTCCTCAATTTCCTGACAAAGTCAGCTACTGTTTTCTGTTTCCTTATAACACTCTCTTCATATGTCCATAATAGAATGGAGAGAGTATCATCAGTGTTTGTACAACTTCCTTCTGATAACCTGTAAATCCCATGAAGACAGGAATGTCTTCTAAGACATATAGTAACCTACCTGGCATCCTAATAGCATTAAAAATGTATGTATTGACTCAATTAATTAATCTAAAAAGCAATTTTAACTATTAGTATGGTTTGCTGGAGGAGGGAAGATTGTTTGTGAATATTTAACCTACCTGGTACAAAATGAGAATTGTATTCAGGAGGGGCATAAGGCCTTGGATCTGGCGATTTTATTTGAATTTCCATTTCACCTGCAGGCTGCTCAGGGGCTGTGGAGACTACACCTTGGGGGAAAAAGAGTGGACATGACTTACAAAGGAAATGATGATATGATAACAAAATTTGTTGGTATGCATCAAGCAATATAATAAATATGAAAACCTTCATATTTTTATAAAAACAATTAGTCCTGTATTAGTAGTCATCAACCTGTCAATACATTTTGTAAATTTTCAAACTGCACATAGATTAAAACTAAAACTAAGCAATTATGTTGTGCTTGTGACCAAAGCAAAGAGTTTTCATACTAGTGGTTCAGCGGACCTGAAGCTGACTCCTACCTACATAGTAAATTCCTTGCACAATCTCAAAAATTTTTTTCCTATTTATAATATGAGAAAACAGGCATATATAAATAGAGTGAATTTGATTTTTCCCCTAATACTTTTTGGAAAGTGATATCTAAATAAATCAAAACATAACACCTTAAACACTTAACGGGGTAGAAAGCAGTGGTGCTATACTCAATTCAATTAGAGGTAGTTTAGACTATATCTCCAGTGAACTACATTTTAACTGAATTCTTTCTACAGCCAACCTGGGTCACAGTAATTGCTGCAAAGCAGATACTGGAGTCATTTTCATGATGTTACACCTTGTCCTCTTGTTGAGATTAGAGAAATTTCTCTCTGGACTCACTATAGAAAAAAATTCTCGATTTCCTAAATAACCAGTTGACTTTTATCTCATAGAAAACACAAATCCCCTAAAATGTGAGGGTGTTTTTCTGTTTATATCAATCTCTAGAAAATTCGGGGCCTACTTTCAGCCCTCCTCTACCAAGGAAGGATGTCACCACAGGCTGTCACCATTACTTGCTACCACCTCTCTTTGCAGACTTGCTTTGCTACCCTTGCTTTTCCTTTACCTAATTTCCTCCATGAACTTTAAAGATCATTTGGTACATCTATGCTAATATAAGTCCTTTTTTAATCCTTTTCAGACAAAGATAGATAGTTTATATGTATAGATATATGTATACATATTTATATATTTATATTCTCCAAATGCTAAATAATTAAAAACTCCAAAATGAAATAAAGACCCCCTTTAAGGAAAAGAGTCAAATAATTCACATTTAAAAATAAAGCACATTCAAATTTATTCATAAAAACTTACCTGACATTTTGAAGAATTCTAATTAATCCTGAAAAATAAAACATTTTAATGCCTTAAAAATATATACATACCATACAGTTAGTATTATTATTCAGTGATATAGGTAACAAGTTCTGTTATTCTTTTAGTCTCCAGCTACCTTTCATTCATTCATTCATCAATGCAACAAATACTTATTGAGTATCTATTATATACCAGACACTATTATAGACATTGAGATATTATAGATATTGAGTAGCAATAAATCAGAAACTCCATTACCCACTCTACTGCAGCTCATATTCTTGTGGGGTAACATTAAAAAAAAACTCAACAAACATTTTAGTTTAAGTTTAGAAAGTACAGTACTGAAGGAAACAAAGGTTTAAGAAAAACATGAATGGGAAGTTCTAGGAGAGTCAGACCTTAGAACTATTTGCACTATGAAAAGGAAACTTCACACTACAATTGTGGGCAGAGTTCCAGAAACACAGGAAAGTAAGTGCAAAGGCCCAGAGATGGCAATGAGCTTGGGATATTCAAGGGAGAAAAGAGAAAGAGGTCAGATGAGGCTGGGCCCCAGGGAATGAAGAGAACCAGAGGAAGAGATGAAGACCAATACCTGATTACATCTGAAGGCCATGGCAAGATGTCTGGCATGTTTTATAATTCCAGGGGGAAGTCTGGAGGATTGTAGTCAGAGGAGTGATCAGATCTGATTTATACCATATAGTGGGAGTGGGAGGGTCGAAAGAGGGAGCAGAGGGTTAGAAGTGCTCAGAGGCATGACAGGGTTTCTAAGCAGAATCTACAGGAGTTGCTGATGGATTAAAGAAAAGAGGAGATTTAAGGATGGGTCTCAGTTTTAGTCCAGAGTAACTGAGTTAATGGTGATGACGTTAACTGAACTAGAGAGGAGGATGGTAGGGAAATGTTGGGGACCGAGGAAGATAAGAATAAAAACTTTAAACTGGGGCATGTTATGTTTGAGGCCAAAAGAAGACAAATTAAACATGTAAATAAAAATATGTATATTTTAATATTGTGGAAATAATTCAGAGAAGAAAACTAGAAGTTGAGATTAGATTTGAAACAAGAAGTGGGGATGGAGTTAAAATAGTCTAGATTCAATCAGCCAAAAAACAACAAAAAAAGCCTATTATCAGAGAAGGGAATTTCAGTATATCTGAATTTCCAACTTCTGGATAATGACAAATAGCAAAGAGAAGAACATCAACAAAGATTATAATTTACTGACTGCTTATCAAGTGTTAGGCAAAAGGCCCAACACTTTTCACATATTATTGCTGATTATAACAACACCCTCTAATATATAAAGGACCAACCCTGCTGAAGTCACTGGACAGAAAAACCAAGTCATTGGAGGACACATATAGTATTCTTCCACTTCAGAATGTTCAATAGCAGGAAATCTAAACAAAACACTTTATCTGATAAATATATGGAGAAAAACATTAAGGAAATGCTAGGGAATTAATAATGAAAAATTCAGGAAAATGGTTCCATGTGAGGGAGGAGAGGCAAGTGTTCAGCAGTAGTCTACAAGGAGCTTTAAGGTCCTGCCAGTCTTCTGGTTCCATCAGGGTGAAGAGAACAGAGGTCATTAGTTTTAAAGGGTACATATATATTTAAATATTAATATTCATATGTATGACGTTTCACAATAAACAAGAACCATCTGACAGTTCTATCTTAAGGTTAACCTTCTTCTAACTAAAGGCTTGTTCCTTTCTATGGTATCTGGGGATTGCACACTTGCCAAGAACCACAATGGAAACTAATTAGAACAGATTATTAAGTGCCTTATGTTAAAGGGAACAAATTATCTATCCTTCTATCCGTCCATCATCTATCCAGCTATCTATAGTGGCAAACTGTTTAGTATAGTGCAAAAGTGGCAAATTTTAACAATTGCTGCATGTAGGTGAAGAAACAGACTTGAATATTATTTTCAAAAATTTTATTTTCAAAATAAAACTTGAAAAGAAAGTATAGAATGATAAACCCCAAACCTGAAGTAGTACCTCTGGGGTCCAGGCCTGGAAACCTTTACTTTTAACACAGTCCTAGGTGATCCTTATGATCAAGCATGTTTGAGACTAATATAATGAGTACAAATATAATGAATGTAAAGAAAAATAATGGTTCTCAACCCTGCCAGGCAGAAATTAAGAATTCAAATCTGATTCTAGTGACTGATAACAACTTGAAAAAATAAACAGTTCAGCAAAATTTTAGAAAGTGTATCAGTGACTTTAAATAAAGGAAAATATACCTACATATTGCCTCACAAGTTTCAGGTGCTCAAAGAGTCCGTATCTTCCCTGTCCTTTAAGCCACCAGGCTTTTTTTCTCACCACCCTCTATTCTCTTCCTTTTCTTATAAAATTTTACACTATAGTTTTAGCCAAAATGTTATGTAAAACAGGAGAATTTCCAGTTGGTACAAGCAAGAATGTTGTTAACTCAATTCTCCCTTAACCTTTAGTCAATCATTTCAGATTTCCCTATCAGCACCAGCAAAAGTGCCATACGCGGAAGAGACTGACTTGGCTTTATATCAGACGGAAACCAGATTAGAAAACTGAGCTGTGTCTCCGTAACAGGTTAGTATTACAAAGTGCAGAGAACTCTGAATTGTGTGGGCCTTGGCATTTTCAGGGCTTAGGATGCATGCAGGGGAATGAATCTAAGCTGACTGCAAGATGATAAAGAGGGAAGGGAGACATAGGCTGGACAGGATGAGGTTGGTGAGGCCGGGGTTTGCTTCCTTATAAGGCAGCTTAGATATCTTAAATGACATCCTACAGCAAGAGAGCATTTACATGGATATCACTTGGTGCACCCAACACTGCAGCTGTGTTATATGTTTGCTCTTCAATTTCACCTCTGTAAACAGTGACACACTCACAGAGCTCAATAAAAGCACAGGTTCTTAAACCCACACCAAGGATATTTGAAACTTCAATCACTGCAACACAGTAAGATGGTCAGCTCTGTACAGTCGGGTATTTACTAGAATCTTCCCTGACTTCTGCACAAGGAAGCCTTTGGGCAGTTGAGAATCTCTAGGCACAAGGCTTGGGAACCTACACATGCATTCCAAAACCCTGGGTATTACCTGTTTCTACTGCCTCCAGCCCTGAAAAGAGGCAAAAGAAAGCAGATCACTGAACAATTCCTTCTGCTTCTTGGCAGAGATAGGAAAAATGGCCTGATCCTGCAAAGTCCTATTCTAGATACCACAATCCCCCATTTGGGTTTAATATGTTACTGTTAGGACATTATATCCTTTGTACATCTTAATCCTACCTTAAGGATACCTGGAGGAGGGCAAAAGATTTGATGGCTATTAAATGGTGTACACCAGCACGCATCAGACAGTATGGACAGTGATCCAGAGTGTGAGTTCAAATCCCAAGTCTATCCCTACTAGCTATGTGACCTTGGGTGACTAGTCTGTTCTTAGTTTATCCTTTGTATCATGGGCATGGTGACAGTTGGATCAATCTCACAGAACTATTGTGAAGACTAAAACAATTACATTTGTATAGCACTTAAAGCAGCACCTGGCATAGCTGCTGGATAGCAATTCCTCAATAAATTAGAGTCCTTACTATTTTTTCACTAGTAAAACATACCAAATCAGAGAGAGACCAAGAATAAATGTCTGTATTCAAACGTACTATTAAGAAAAAGCCGTTTGCCTTTCAGCCATGCAACATCTATTACTCATGTGTAGATTCTACAGTGGGTTCTGGCTGACACCACTAACTCCCACCTTCTACCTCCAGCGAGTAAGATTTTAAATACAATTTCATGAGAACTATTTGTAATGAGTTTCAAAGTGGAAGGAAGTGTAGAAAGAAAATGGAGACATTGCTGAAGGGCTTTTTACTATTTCTAGCTAAATGAAAGCCAAATGAGTTAGAGTATAGCTTAAGTGGCTGCAGGATTTGCTTTCAGTTCAGGATAATGATATTAATTATATTATTCAGATGAATGGATTAATGTAGTAATGAGATTTAAAAAGAACAGACAATTAAAATTATATTAAAGACATATTCCAAAAGTTAAAAGAATATAATGGGCATTATATCTTCAACATATAAATGTTGAGGTCTTTTTTATAATCCTGTGCCACGAAAAATTAAATATTTAAGTCTGTATTAGTATAATACTTCCAAGTATAAGATGCAAGTAAGAGAATATGGATGATTAGAAGTAATACTACATTGCATTTATTTGAAAGCCTTTATAAAACTCTTAATAAATAGAAATGTTAGTATTTTTCAAATGTTAAACTTTTATAAACCTCATATTTCACAATAAGCATCCAGGCTGGGTGAATGTTAATTAATGTGCTAGTAGTTCTAAGTATGTACACATGTCATGAAAAAGAGATTATCTACTAGCCTTTGCTAAGTATCTAATGTATTATTTTGTTCTTTCTCCAGAAAATGTGATGGCTATTCAATTTTTAGTTGTTATATGTAACTTGGAGTTGTATAACAAAGAATTTGTCTGGTCTTTGTCCTGCATTCTGGAGAGATAACTTCTAAACCCTTAGAATTTGCAAGTGACAGAAATGTTTTTGTTATACTTGTTGGGCCCTTGGACCACATCTGAGTTCTTGCTAAGGAGATGACTTAGGGTAGGGGCTGGTCATGTCAGAAAAACCAACCATGTGATTAAAGGGTGGAAGCTTTGAGTCATTTGATATTTGCCTGACCTCCAGGGTGGTGGGGACTGGAGAGTGACTTCAACCATATAGCCATGTAATGAAACCTAAATAAAAACCAGCTCCAGTGAGCTTCCTGGTTGGTAAATGCATCAGTGTGCTGGGAGTGTGATGCATCTAGTTGGCTCGTCCTGATTTTTATCCTTTATAATAAAACTTAAATCAAAAATAGAGCACTTTCCTGAGTTCTGTGAATCATGCCAGCAAATTATCAAACCTGAGGGGGTGATGGGAACACCTGAATATGTAGTTAGTTGGTCAGAAGTGTGGGAGGCCTAGAGACGCCCGAACTTATGGTTGATGTCTAAAGTGAGGGAAGTTTTGTTAGAAATTGTGCCCTTAAGCCTGTGCAAACTCTGGGGTGTTAATGTCAGAATTAGATTGCTTAAAAAATTGCTAAATTGTTACACAATATTACCCACACATACATATAATGTTGTTCAAGTCTTCTATTTCCTTTTTCATCTTCTGCTTAGTTGTTCTACCCATTATTTTAAGTAGGGTATGACTATAGTCTCCAACTATTATTTGTGGTATTATCTGTTTCACCCTTAAGTTGTATCAGTTTTGCTTCATATATTTTGGAGCTCTGTTTTTATGTGTATACATGTATATAATTATTCTGTCTTCCTGATAGATTGACATTTTTATTATTATAAATGTCTTTCTTATCTCTAGTAACAATTTTAGTCTGAAACTATTTTTTGTCTATATTGTTTAATTATTTCATTAATCCTTATCAATCACTAAATTTGAGACATACTGTTCTGATGCACAGTGTTTTACAAACTGATGATACATTTGTAGGCTTTAAAATCAACGATTCAAACTTTAATTTTTAAAAATAAAATGAAGTAGGCTGGTTGTAGTGACTCAAGCCTATAATCTTAGCACTTCGGGAGCCCAAGGTAGGAGGAACACTTGAGACCAGGAGTTTGAGGACCAGCCTGAGA